AGACCCAGGAGGTCACTCCCAACTTGGAGTGAGGCTCAGCTCCTCGAGGTGGGGGGCAGGAGCAGCTTTGGACTGTAGCTGCCAACGCACACCTCTCTCCCCCATAGGAGAGCTTCCTCCAAGACTGCATGAGGATGGGAGACACAGGGAGTGTGCAGTGGCCAAGGCTGGGGAGCCAGGAATATGAGTGTTCCCTGGGATGCTGGGGAAGAGAAACCCAAGAGCAGTTTGGGATTAGGGAACTAAACCGGGCCCAGGAAGGAGAGGCAGAGACTTGGCGGAGCGTGCCTGGCGGTGGTGCGAGCATGCGTCTTCTCCTAGACACTGACCCTGCACACTGACCCTCTCCCTATCTCCATCTCCCTCACTGGGTTTCCTAATCACCTCCAGGCTATGAGGCTAGAGAGAGAGAGAGAAAGAGAGAGAGATTCTCCTTGTCCCTTGATTTTTTTCTCTCCTAGATGTTGATTTATTTTATTTGAAAGGGAGAGAGAGAGAGAGAGAGAGAGATCCTCCCTCTAGATACTGGCTCATTCCCTAAATGCTCGCAACAGCCAGTTCTGGGCAAGACAGAAGCCAGGGGTTACATCCAGCTCTTGCACAGACCCAAGTCCCTGGGCCATCATCTGCTACCTTCCAGGCACATTAGCCAGAAGCTGGCTTATAAGTTTGGAGCAGCCAGGACTTGAACCAGGCACCAGGGAACATGCCATAAGGCATATCTCTTTAATGTTTATTGCCAAACTGTTGGTGATGCCAGGACAGCCAATAACGGAATGGAGAGAGAAGGAGAGTGTGTCAGATCCGCAGCGAGACACAGGGCATTGTGTGTGCCTGTGGGGGGAACCAATCCCACTCCTTCTCCTTCCCCCTGCCAGTATCCAGGCAGGCACTGGGGTAGGGCGCACCACCGAGGGGAAGTCCCCCTCCACCACTGAGTGTCCAGACCCCTTGTGCCTCCCCTGACTCTCACTCTGCCCCTTTATCCAGAGGCTTCCAGGTGAACTGGCGGCTCCCACACAGAGAAGAGATTGATGGGACACTAGGACAAAGTACAATGATTGTGCCTTGGGCCTGATCACTACTTTCTTTGTCTGGGGCCACTGCTGGCTTCTGGCTGCTTTTCATTCTCTTCTCCACCCGCACCCTGTCCCTGTCTCTCCCTCCTCCTCCCCTGGATCACCTTCCTCCTTGGCCTTCTGCTGGATGCCTGCAGAAGGATACACCTCTGGATACACCTCTCCCTCTGCTACTGAGGCTGGGCCTTGAGAGGGCCCTCGCATTGGGATGCAGCCTGACCTGTGTCTGGGCTGCATCCAGCTCTCCTCCCCTATCTATTGGGTGCCCTTGAGCCCTGACCACCTCCCTCCCTTTTCTTTGCCCTGCAGCCATGGGACACTGAGCTCAGGAGAAGGTGCTCAGGAGACAGTGTGGTTTCACTATGGTGGATGACTGCTTCTTTCTGCCTCTTTTGGAGACCAGGGCCATTGTGAGTTGGTGGTACCACACTGGGGGCTAGGATGCAGAGCTGATCCGTTCTCTGAGTCACCAACCTGAGAGTGGATGTGACCTTGCTCAGAACCCCTCAGGCAAGGCTGCAATTCCAGTCCTTGCAGAAAGGGACTCTGTCCCCAGCCTCCTGGGGCACAGCCCATTGGGGAAGCACAGAGGAGCTCTGGTGGCTCACCTGGCTATGTGGGGAGCCCTGGAACTATGGAGCAGCAGGTGAGGGGCCCCTGTCCTGGCCACCCCTTACTGACTTCATGGCCTTTGCTAAGAACTCTTTAGATCTACTTCTCTCTCTTTCTCCTGAAGTCAGAATAGGCCAAGATGAGTCCTGGGTCATGTCCTAGAGCCTGATGAAGGAGGTATTCCCAGAGAATGCTCCTTCTTTGGTCTTTGGTCTCCATGGCAGATCAGAAGAAGTAGAGGGGTATCCCTTCCATGTCCCACTCAGCAGTTTGAGTGCTGCGCCCAGGTGAGGCATCTTGCCTGGCATGGGGCGGAAGCCAGCAAATAAACAGTGACTAAATGTACAAGGCCTTGTCCTGGTTGCTGGTGCCTCTCCCCTCCCCTCGCCCCCTGCCAAGTGGCCCAAGACAAGCCAGGGCCAGAGCAGCATGAGTGACATTAAGGTGAGCTGGAATGACTATGAACTGGCCCCTCTTCTTATTGGAGCCTGGGGATGCCCCTCCAGTAGAATTAGGGTAGCAAAGTAAACTAGTCCCCTCCTTCATCAAACCACAGTACCGTGTGTAGCGGAAGGGGTGAAGTGGCTGCACCGGAAGCTCTGCTCCCATTCCCAGTCCTTCCGGCCTCCGAAGAGGCTCCAGCAGTCCCAGACCAGGCCCTGGCAGGGGGAGCTGGGTAGGAAGTGGGTAACAAGATGACCCGGACCCTCTTTTGCTACAGGGCTACAGGTAACACAACCCCCAGCCCTCTGTTCCCTGGGGGATCCCAGGAGCTGCTGGGCCAAAGCCCAACCAGGACTTTTCCCAGGCTGGTGCTATATGCAAGAGTGGGGTGGGGGGGCTTGGGGGACACCCCAGAAGGCACGAGGGAGTGGGGAAGCTAGAAGAGAAAGGGGCTCTGCATGAAAGGAGGGAATAGGAAAAAAGAGCCGGGAGAGGCTTTTAGCCCACCCCACTAGTCAAGGCATCAGGAGGGTGCTGGTGGCTGACTGGGGAGTTCCCTCCCTTAGTGGGGCAGGGGCTGGGGGTCTCTGCTCAGAAGAGGAGCATGAGCTGGGCTGATAGAAACTTTGGCCCCCAGCCTGATGGGAGCTTGGGGCAACTGGCCTACAGCCGTCCCTTGGTGCTGGAGGGATTTGAGTCATCGCTCAAGTCTTTGCCTCCATCCGCCCCCATCAGCCCCCTGGCCTCGGTTCCCTGGCAACATCTGGGTGGGGGGGTGCAGCAGGAAAAAGGGCCTCTGTCTGCCCAGCTGCCTCTCCCGCGGTTTCTGCCAGACTCCATGGTGCATACGTGGGCTCTGACAGGTCCTCTTCCCTCTGGGTCAATGACTAACCCCGGAGCCCTACACTTCCCGTCCTCAGCTCCAGAAACTCGGTGCCAAATTCTTCTCGCCTTGGAAGAGGGAGGGTGAGAAGCCTGCCTGGATGCTTCCCAAAGGACCCCAATTACCCCAGGCCTGACAGCTGCCAGATAAGGACTCCAGATGGGTACTCTGGCCCCTCGGCGCAGCGGCCTGCAACTGCTCTACCCACGAGACGGGTTCAGTTCCAAGTATGCAACCGTTTGGGTCGTCAGACATGGGCCGGTGTGGGTGACGGGGTGAGGGCACTCGGGAATCTTCCACCCACCCTTCTTCCCCAAGCCCCCCCATTCGCTCCCTAGCCAGAACTGGGGGGGTGTACAGACGGTAGTCACTAGGGGGCGCTCGGCCACCACAGGGAGCTCGTGAACTTGGGCAAGCCGAGTCTGCGTGAGTGAGGACGCGTGTGTCAACGTGTGTGTATGTGTGTGTGTCCATATAGGGACTGAGGGTGTTCCGGGGGAGGAGGGCGAAGGAGAAGGCCAGGGGTCACCCCAGGATCCTAGCAGCTCCAGGCCCCTTTCCCCCACAGGTCCCTGCCGGGCTCCCCGCCGCCCTGCCCTCGCCGGTATTCCCAGCAAACCGGGACGAGCCCGCGGCTCTGTCCGCACATAACCTCACTTTCCCGTTCCCGCCCCTCGGCACCCACGGGCGTGCGTGTCTCTGGGCAGAGTTTCGGGGCGCTGGAGGGGGCGTCGCTGGGGGCTGTGCGCCTTGGCGGTGGTGGCGGTTTGGGGGGATGGTTGCCGGGACTAGGGGAGGGTGTGGGTGTGGGTGGGGTCCAGCGTTCCCCTCGCCGTGCCGGGTTTGGGGTCCAGGCTGAAGCTGGGTGTCCCCGCGGGAAGACCGGAGACGCACCGGCTGGCCGAGGGCCCGCCTCCCCGGCATGTCCCGCCCCGCGGAGGGCGGAGCAAGGCCTATTTTCTAGTCGCCTGGGAGGTGAGGAGCGCACAGGCTTGGGGCAGCCGGACTGCGTGGAGGCCGCGGCGCAGGGCAGCGGAGCCGGCGGCAGCGGCGACGGCGCTCGGTCGGGAGGCGCAGCGGCAAGGCACACGGTCCCGCGGACTCGGCGGCAAGGGCCCCCGCCCCCGCGCTGGATTTCGCTACTCATCGATCCGGGCCTTAGTTCCCTCGTTTTTTCTTAAACATTTGAAAAAAAAAAAAGAACTGAATTGCTTTCCCCGCTTTTCAATTAACATTTTTTTTTTCCTCCCCATTGCCCGCTTGCAACTGGGGCCGACGGTGTGGGAAGCTTGCTTTGGGACTGGCCCCGAATCACTTCGGATTTTTTTTTTTTTTTTTTGGAAACCCTCAGAGAAGGAACGAGGTGGCGAGAGCTCTCGGCATAGAAGTCGAGGAAGGGAGAGACGGGGTCGGAGCGCGCGCGCCAGGCGGGCGAGCGGCGAAGAGGGACTGGGGCAAAGTGAGTGACCTGTTTTTGGGGGGTGACCGCCGGAGCGCGGCGCCGGGCCTTCCCCCACCTCGGGACCCCGAGCCGGACCAGTCGAGCTGACGGACAGACAGACACCACCCCCAGCTCCAGCGCCCACCTCCTCCCGGACCAGCGGCCGACGGCGGACGCGGCGGGCAGCAGCCGGAGCCCGCGCCCGGAGGAGGCGGGGTGGAGGGGATCGGGGCTCGCGGCATTGCTCTGAAACTTTTCGTCCAACTTCTGGGCTGTTCTCGCTCCGGAGGAGCCGTGGTCCGCACCGGGGGAGCCGAGCCGAGCGGAACCGGGAGAAGTGCTAGCGCGGGCCGGGAGGAGCCGCCGCCACCGGAGGAGGAGGGGGAGGAGGAAGGAGAGAAGGAAGAGGAGAGGGGGCCGCGGTGGCGACTCGGCACTCAGGAGCCGGGCTCATGGACGGGTGAGGCGGCCGTGTGCGCAGACAGTGCTCCAGCCGCGCGCGCGCCCCAGGCCCTGGCCCGGGCCTCGGCTCCGGCAGCAAGAGGAGCCCGCCGAGGCGCGGAGGAGAGCGGGCCGTCCCGCAGCCCGAGCCGGAGAGGGAGCGCCAGCCGCGCCAGCCCCGGCCGGGCCTCCGAAACCATGAACTTTCTGCTCTCTTGGGTGCATTGGAGCCTTGCCTTGCTGCTCTACCTCCACCATGCCAAGGTAAGCTGCCGTGCCTGCCTGGGCGCCGCGGGGCCGCTGCGAGCGCCTCTCCCGGCTGGGGACGTGCGTGCGTGCGAGCGAGCGAGCGAGCGCGCTCGTGGGGGGCCTTGGTGCCCCCCACGCGGGTCCGTGGGCACCGGCGCGCGGCATCCCCCCTCGGCCGGCGTACGTGGAGGGGGGAGGGGGCGCGCGCTAGGTGGGAGGGCACCGGGGTAGCCTCGCCGCCCACGCGGGCCCTGCCCACCCACCAGAGTCGCCGCCGCACGTACGATCTGGGCCGAGCAAGCCGAGGGCGGGAGTCGGAGGAGGAGGCCGAGGGGGCTGGGCTTGCCCTGCCGCTGGCGGCGGCTGAAGTTTGCTCCCGGCTGCTGGTCTCCGACGAACTGGAAGTCCGGGAGGCGGGGGCGGGAGCCGGCGCTCTGCAGCGGGCAGGGGGTTGTTCGGACCTTGGACCGGGGAGGGCAGGGAGCGTGGAGGGAGCAGGGCGCAGGCGAGAGAAGGGGCTTTGCTGTCAGCACTACTCGGTGTCTTCGGCCCTCATCTCGAGTTGGGGAAAAGTTTTCGGGTGGATTTGCTGTAGGGACCCTCCCCGGCACCCCACCTCCCTGCCGGCCACCTGCGCCGCGCCATCCCCCGCCCGTCCCCGCTCGCGTCCCGCTCCATGCCCGCCCTCCCCCGCCCGGCCGGGCGCGCGCGGCGCGGAGCCGATTACATCAGCCCGGGCCTGGCCGGCCTCGTGTTCCCGGAGCCGCGGCTGCCCGAGCCGGGAGCCCGGGGCAGCGAGCGGCGCCCCTCCCCCCTGCCGGCCCTCCGGGAGGGGAAGGTGACCTCTCAAGGTAGCCACAGTCCTGGGACCATCCACACCCTTGCCCGCCGCCCCCAGCCCCCTGTCCCTGCCGTGTGTTCTCGGACGCCCCTTCCCCCTCTCCCCATTTCCTCTCCCGGGTGGAGAAGTCTCTGCCATCCGTTTAGATTGTATTCCTCTCTGCAGTGAACACCCATCCGACCTCTGTGGGCTGCCCCATTCGGGGCAGGGATAGGCGGATGTCCAGAAGTCGGGGTTGCGGGAGCCACTGGGGTGCTTTGTCCACACTAAGAAAGTCCCCAGCCGGTGACAGTGTGCCTCTTAAGCCCTTCCCGGGAGGTTCCCAGGGAGCCATGATTTTAGCTTTTTTGGGGGGGGGGCAGGGAGGTCTTAGAGAATGTGTTCACCCCACTTTACCCTTTTTGGAAAACGGTCTGGAATCGGCTGTGCCATGGGCGGCATAGGAACAGCCCTTCCAGAACCCTGGGAGGCAGCTCTCCTGCCAGCCAGCCAGCCCTTGCACACACACACACACACTCACACCCAGCGTCCTGGCCAAACAGGGTGTTGGAGCAGGTGGTTTTTTGGAACTCCAGACTCACCCACCCAACTTGTCTCCCAAGGCTGCCCTAGGGGGTCCTTTTCTTATCCTGCTTAAACCTCTCATCAGTCACAGAGGCCCCCTGAAAGGGAGGAGGCAGAAGGAAGGAAATGGGCAGGGGTCCCCTCCGCCACCCAGAGTTCCTCAGAGCCTGGCACAAAGACCTTGGCTCCCAGCCTCCAAGTATGGAGGAAGGGAGGAGTGGCTGCCCAGCCACTGTGTGACCTTCAGCGGCCCCCAGAGAAGGGCACCTGGCCCCTCCCTGCCTAGAACTGCCCCTCTGGTGCCCCCTGGCCTTAGAGGGAGCAGGAAGTTTCTGTTCCCGTTCCTGGTGGGGCTTGAAAGTAGCTGAGGGCAGAGGGAGAAGGTTGGCAGGGGAAGCCCTGTGGGGGAAGAAGGGGTTGTGAGGACCTGTTGAGGTGCTGAGGAGCAAAGCTTAGGGTTGCCTGAGGAGGCCGCCACCATGGGAGACTCTCTAGCTGGGGGGGACCCCAGTGAGGTGCGTTGGAGGTGTGGGCACCAAAATAGGACTTCCCCCACCTCTTTAGGAGGGGGAGGCATCCAGAGGAGACCCCAGTTTGCAGCTGAGGACTCCTCAGCCCCAGGAGCAGGTGGGATGGGGAGCTGGTGTGAACTAGAGGCTGTAAGGAAGGACTGGGGTGGGTGGGGGCAGCCTCTGCCCACTGGGTCCACATGGCTGTGCTTGTTGACCTTCACAGGTTCTGGGGAGGGGAAGAATAACCTGGGGTGGGGTGGGGGTAGGAAGGGCTGGGGGAGTCACTCAGGGGGGCCCCCTAGGGGCTGGGCAGTGCCAAGGCATCCATCTAAAAACTTCCCGCTGGTTGTAGTTGAGGAAGGTTCCCAGGTAGGTGTCTGGGCACCTTGGGATGCCCCCCTCTTTTACCACCCCCTCCCCGGGTGGGATGAAGAAACAAGGGCACAAGGTGGGAGTAGGGACTGGAGAGGCTCCGGAAGAATGTTCAGGCTCTGGGGTTCCTGGTGCAGGGAGGTCGGCAGGACCCTCCCCCTCATAGGTTTTCACCTTCTGTACAACCTGTAGGCGTGCTGAGGAGTCCCAAGGGCTGCAGGAGTTGGCTTGGGGGAGGGAGGTTGGTGCCCTTCGGTCCTCTGCACCCCCCTCCCTCCTGCTCCAACCCCAGCTTACCCTGGTATTTGTCATGTCAGCAGGAGAAGGTCACCACGTTGTTTTTCTCGCCCCCAGTCCTTCCTTCCTGCCCAGTCCAAATTTGTCCTCCTGTTTGACCTTAACACTCACCCGTGGCTTCAGACTGGGGAATCCCTTAGGACAAGGAGGAGGGTGGGAAGGGGCAGTAGGAGCAAGGACAGGGTAAATGTGGGAGGGGGCTGGGCCCTGGACCGGACCCAGCCTGGTGTGCTCCTGTGCTTTGAGTTCCCTATCCTCACCCCCACCCCAACCCCAACATCTGGTCCTCTTGGGTCTTTCTTGGAGTGTAATTTGAAATCGGCTATGGGGGTGAGCATGCACTGTGCCTTGAAGGACCCCTGGTGGGGTGCCCTGGCACTCAGAAGCCAGAGGCTGTGGACCAGGAGGGAGGAGGGGCCGGGTGATTTTTTGGGGGGGACGGTTTGCTCCCCAGTCCCTGCCAATGCGTCGTTCTTTGTTCTGTCCTCAGTGGTCCCAGGCTGCACCCATGGCAGAAGAAGGAGACCACAAGCCCCATGAAGGTGAGTTTCCCTGGCTCTGGCATGAGTCCCTGCCCCCTCCCCCCCCAGGGCATGGCTGGGCAGGCCCAGTTCTTTCTCTGTAGACCTGAACGGGGAGGGAAAAGGGCACGGGATATAAGGGGATGAAGAAAGAGAGAGGGAGAGGGGAGTGGGCATCATGGTTAACCCTTTGGTTTCTTGAGGCGTCTTGTCAGGCCAGGACTTGTCTCCTACTTCTGCTCTTTCTGGTTGAATTTTTTTCCGGAGGAGACCTGAGTGCAAGCCAGGGAGATGGTCCAGCGTTCCCAGATGTTGTAGGAGGCGTCCCTTGCCACCTCGTTGTTTCCCCCGCCCCTGGGAAGGATGGGTGTTTGATGTCCCACCTGGGGATTGTCACCCCTCTCGTGGGAGGTGTTGAACTGTAGATGCAAAGGGTGATGGGATCACCCCTCTAGTTCCCCCACTGTGCCATCGTGCCCCAACCCCGGGATGCATTCCTTCGGATTGGAGAAAGCCCGGTGGGTTTGGGTGCCCTGAACTTCCCTCCTGGGCCAGCAGAGGGCTGGCGGCGGCTCCTGGGCGCCCCGCCCCCCCTGCCCAACCCAAGCCTGCTTGCCTTTTGTTCCGCTGTGGTTTGGAGTACGGGAAACTCCCATTTCTCTAGGGACGCCCTGGCTCTCCCGACCACTGAGGGCAGCCTCTGCTCCAGCCCCACGCTACCCTCCCAGCTTTCTGTCCCTGAGAAGACAAGGCGTTGGGGGATCTTCCTCCAAGCACGTTTCCCTGATCCAAATCCAGCTGGGGCTAGGGTAGTGACCAGGGGTGGTGATGCCTGGCTGGCTGGTTTACCTCCCCCTTGCCTTCTCCAGGAGCCCTTCCTTTGGCCCATGGCCTGGTTTCCTGGCCACTCCTCGGTCTCTGCCACAGACAGACCTCCCCCTGCACCCCGCCTTTCCCAGTATGCCTGCCACCCAGCCTCTCAGCTTCCCAGTGGTCTCTGTGATCTGGGAGAGGCAGGACAAATGGTCTTTGTTTGCTGGAGAAAGGTTGTCTGTGATAAATAAGGAAAACCAGGATTTGGCACGCGCGTGTGTGTGTGTGTACACCTGCGCATTGGAAGGCAGCCTTCTTCAGAGGCAGTGGCTGGGGCACCAGGGGTCCTGAGGAAGCTGCTCCTGTCCATCGAGGGAAGAGGGGTCAGAAGCTTTCTGAACTCAAGACTTACCAGCCCAGCACTTCCTGCCTTCGGCCTGGCCTCCAGTCCGATTGCTTGGGTCATCTCTGTCTTAATCATGGTGAAGGATCAGTTCTAAAAGTCTCTATTCATTATCTTTGCCTTAAAAAGTGACTTTTCCAGACCTCTAGTGTCATTTACATTTTTCTTTTGGATGATCTTTTGCCTTAACTGTTTGCAGGTGGGGACAGACTCTGCCTGTGGTTGGGCCATGGGAAGTAGCAAATTCCTGCCCTGCCTGGCTTTCTGTACTGCTCCATGTGTAATCACACCTGTGGCTTTGACCTCCTTTCTACCCCTCCCTCCCCGTGGTCTCCCTAGCCAGCCTGTTCCATTCATCCCTCCCTCCCTTTGGAGCACAGATCTTGGAGAGAGGGGAGAAGAGGGAGGCTCAGTGGCCCTCTCCGATTGGGGGATTTGTCTATAGGATATCTGTGGGCGGTGCCTGGGTGAGGTTCTAGACTTTCATGTTCCCCAGAACCAAGAAAAGGGCCACTTGTTCCCGATGCCGGAAACGGGACATGGAGCTCTGCTTTTCCAGCTTGGGTTTGACGTGACGTAGAGATCAACCCAGTCTGCTGAGTCGGGGCCTGGAGAGGGGCAGAGCTGGCCCAAGGTCACACTACGTCATAGTTGGTTGCCTTTCTTCCCGCTTGCACAGGGACGCTGACTTCAGGGACAGGGCTGTCGTGCAGTGACAGTGCAGGACAGCGGGGAGTGTGTGACGAGGAGTGGCAGGCTAGATGTCAGTGCTGCATTTGTGTATGCTCCACCCCTCTGGCCCAAAACTATCCACTTCATGCTCCAGTGCTCCCCTGGCTCCTGTGGGTGAGAAACTGTCTCTGCCCTGGTCTCTCTCCAGCTCAACTTCTAGAAGGGCTCTGTGGCTGCCCGTAGCAGTGCTGCTTTTTTCCATGATGCAAGCAGTTTGCCCTCTTGGGTGGGGTTATCAGCGGCAGGCAGGGCTGAGGCAGGGCTGGTGCGGCTTGCCCGCCCACTGCCACCTGCTGATTCCAGGCGGGTGCAACCCTGTGTGCTGGTGCCCACCACCGTTGCCTCAGGCTGTGACTTTGGGGAGAGGGGTGGGAGACCGGCAGGTGGTATGGTGCCTCTGGAAGCTTGTCCTGTGTTTCTGCGTGACGTAGGCTTGGCAAGGCTTGCAGTTGGTTCTGGCTGTGCAGTCAGGAGCAGTGTGGCCTTGGGGTGTGTCTCTGAGCCTCACACTCCCCATATGTAAGCCGGGCTCCTGGTGGGACGTCAGAGGGCAGCATGGGGAGCATTGTGGGAGATGATAGCCCTGGTTGTATTAAGCTCTGCTGCTACTGTGATTGGAGCAGTTGTATTGGCATGACAACTTTGTAAGGAGGTAGAGACAGGTGTCCTCCAGCGTCACGGTTAGGGAAGCTCTGAGGAGTGGCCTTCTGGAGCCAGGTGAAGATGTGGCCACCCTGTGTGTCATCGGCCGTGTTCATCTGTCTCCCTCCTCCGATGCAGTGGTGAAGTTCATGGATGTCTACCGGCGCAGCTACTGCCGTCCAATCGAGACCTTGGTGGACATCTTCCAGGAGTACCCTGACGAGATCGAGTACATCTTCAAGCCATCCTGTGTGCCCCTGATGCGGTGTGCAGGCTGCTGCAACGATGAGAGCCTGGAGTGTGTGCCCACTGAAGAGTTCAACATCACCATGCAGGTGGGTACCTGTGGGGGATGGGGGCAGGGCCAGAGTGGTCCTGGCCCCATCCTGGGAGCTCAGAAGAGGAGGCAGGGAGAGGAAGCATGTACTGGCTGGGGGACTTGCTTCCCTTAGGAATGGAAGATGCCTGCATTTTTCAGCCTAGGTTTCCAGAAAGTCCCCCACCACCTTGATCTTTGTCCGCCCCACCGCCATCCCAGGCTTCAGGAAGTGGCTGATGCCTCTTTTCTTTCTCCTGGGGAGAGCAGCCCGTGGAACCACTTGTCTTGAGGACCCTGTGTGGGAAGTGGGTGGGCCTGCACTTCATAGGACAAGTTGATAAATCCAGTCTCTGCACCATAGTGCTGCCTGCTGGTGAAGGGGCATTTCTCCTCCCAGACAGTGGTGGGGTGACGTGGGCAGGGGCACTCTGAGACCCAGGGAGGGAGTGGCTTCTGGGGTCTTGGGGAGGCTTATAGGGACAAAAGGAGGGGAGGGTGAGGGAAGTGGTAAGAATCCAGGACCTGAATTCCCAGCCTGGCCAGCCCTTGCAGCCACACCTGGAGCCAGCGGGGTTGGGGAGAGTTGGGGGCGGGCCTGAGGATGCTTTTTCCTCTTAGAGCCCTTGGTCCCCCTCTGTCTCCACCACCCACCCCTGCTGTGTTGAACCCCTGGGTGCCGAGTGGCAGGAGCCCCTGGGTGGGGTGTCCCATTTGGGTCTGGCTGGCTGGGTCACTGATTGTTGTGTGTACTTCCTTTCCCCAGATCATGCGGATCAAACCTCACCAGGGCCAGCACATAGGAGAGATGAGCTTCCTACAGCACAACAAATGTGAATGCAGGTGAGCACGGATTTGTGGACACCTTGGGCCTAGCAAATGTCTACAGGGCTCCTGGTCTGCCCACGCTGGGCTTGAGAGTGTTGTTAGTCCCATGTGTGTTTTCCAGCTGTGTGACCCTGAGCATTTTCCTTTAGTGTGCCTCAGTTTCCACATCTGTGTCATGGGTTCACCGATAGTATTTACCTTGCAGTATTGTTGTAAGGATTAAGGGGGTTATCATACTGTGATAGGATGAAATCAAATGTTGTGATGTCTCACTCTTGTATTTTGTTCTTTTCTCTCTCTCTTCCCATTGTAGACCAAAGAAAGATAGAGCAAGACAAGAAAAGTAAGTGACCATGACTTCAGCACTTCTCCCTGTCCTTGGCCGGATTCTTGGTTTAGGGCACTCGGCTGCCTCTGTCCGGGGCTCTGGTGGCCTCCCTGGGGTCTTGTGAGGGGCGTGAGGTAGCAGTGGTGGGATGGAGCCAGACCTGGATAGTGGCTTCAGGGTTGGTGAGAAGACCCCCTCCTGGAGCTGGCATGGCCCCTGGAGGAGAAGATGCCATTTGGATTGCTGGATTATTTCCCGGCTAGGATGTACTGCTGGGGTGGGGGCCCTAGGACCCCCTCTGGTTTGCTGTGGGCCCCCTTAGCACGAGGAGAGGGAGTGGGGAAGCAGAGCGGCCCAACCTCTTTGTGTGGTCAAGGGAAACAGCCCCCTGTGGCATTGCACTTGGATCCTTGGCCAGCTGGAGGGGTTTCTTGGTGCTTGCCCTCTGGCAAGAGAGGGGCTGGGGGTACACATGCAGCTAGCCAGCTGCCTTGACTGGGGAAAAGGAGTGGACATTGGGCCTTTTCTGAGGCTCCCAATGTGAAGGCTTGGGATGGGGGATAGTGGGTGAGCCTTCCAGGTGGGGCAGGCAGCTGACAGGTCAAGATGGGGCAAGCCTGCAACAAGGAGAGACTGAGAGAGAGAGAGCGCCTATGCCTTGTTCCTCCCCAACTCTCCCTTTCCTGTCTGCCCCTCGGTGTTCGGTGCCCACTGAATTCCCCTAGGTGGCATGCCTTACCTCTTCCTCCCTAAGCACCCAGCTTCCAGGATTGCTGTGACTAGCCGAATAATGGTACGGGGCGTAAACTTGGAGCAGCAGGGATAGAGAAGAGCAAACAAGGGGGCACACTTCTGTGCAGACACACATGCATACACAGAGCACATGCTGACCTTGCAGGACCTTCTCCCCAGGGAGAGCCAACTGTAGACTTGCTCTCTCCTGGATCCCTTCTCCCCACCTCTCTGCCCCTGCGCCATGCCCCTCCACTCCTCCACCCCTCCTCTGTACCCCAGACAGGCATTTCAAGATGTGTTCTCTGGAGTCTGGCAGGCAAGGAAAATGCTGTTTCCCTCAAGAAGGGTCAGCCTGTCCTCTGTGCCCATTCCCCAAGCGCCCGCCTTGCCCACGGGGAGAGTCGGGGATTTACCTGGGCTTGGAATAGGCTGAGATAGGGGGCTGGCAGGCTCTGACAGGCTGCGGGGAGTGTGACCTGCCAGGGTGCTACCCAGGCACTTCCTTCTACCCTGGGGTTTCCAGGACATTCAGCTTGCTCCTTCCCCATCATCATTTCAGGTCTCTAACTTTCTCCCCAAGTCTGGCCTGTCTATTACAGGTCCCTTGTCTTGAGGGTCAGACCTACACAAGGTTTCCAGGCAAAGAAAGAACCTGCCTCAGCTTTGGCCCCCTTTTAGGACCAGCAGCCTCCATGGAGGCCCAGGGGTCCCGAACCCTCTACACAGGCTCTGTTTCCAACCAAAGCCTTGCCAGGGGATGGGTTTGCCACCACAGGGTGGCGAGAGCGAGGAGGAGGAGGAGCTGAAGAGTACAGAGAACACCTGCCCCCACTGCCTCCTTGCTCTCCCCTTCCCCTTTGCTCGCTCTCTGTCTGTCTCTGTTTTTTTATTTTCCAGAAAATCAGTTCGAGGAAAGGGAAAGGGGCAAAAACGAAAGCGCAAGAAATCCCGGTATAAATCCTGGAGCGCGTACGTTGGTGCCCGCTGCTGTCTCATTCCCCGGACCATCCCCTCCCTCCCCTCCATCAGGCTTCCATCTGCGGTGCCCCATAACCTTGCCTCCTCCTACCCCGTGCATCTCCTGGCTCTCACCTCTCCCCTGCTTCTTGCCCCTTGCCCTCCATCTTCTTCTCCGGCCTGTGTCTCTCTCTCACTCACTCCACTAATTGGCACCAACGGGCAGACTTGGTGGTGGTATTGCTGGCGGGGATTAGGGTGTGGTGGGTGGCCTGGGGGGGCCTGGAGGGTCCAGGGAGGAGGCTCTGGCTTGGCTGGGCACCAACTGTTTTCTCACTCACTAGGTGTTGGTGACGGGCCCTTGTTGGCACTGGTGCCGGGCACTGGGGCCCACTCGCCCAAATGGTTCCTGTTCCTCTGGGCTTTTGCCCTTGTATGGAACCTGGGGGTGGTGGGAGGGCAGGTGTGGCCTGGGGAAGGGGCAGAATATAGAAGGAAGCTTGTTGTTGGGGCAGGTACTATGTGCAGACCCCCTCTTTTGGGGGAAGCTCCTTGACTCCCTGTGAACTTGGGACCTCTGTAGGGGAAACCCCCATTCCAGTCCAACCCATGTTACACATAGAAGCCTTCCAGTGGGGCAGCTGCATCCTGTGGGTTGGGGTTGTCCTGGGCTCCGTGGATACTGCCCTGGGCCTTGGCCTCATCTCAGACACTATATTTGTTCATCATTGATGGAGGGGCCTGGCAGCGGGGCCTTGGGTTCTTGTTTCTTCTTCTCCCCCACTATTGTCATCCCAAGCAGGTGTAGAGTCCAAGTGTGCTCTGTTGGGGGCTGGGTCTCCATTACGACCGCCCTTCTCCTGCACTCTCTGCCCACCTGTGCCCTTCTCTGCTTGTGGGCAGGCCTCTAAGCCGGTGCTGCCTCTCTGCGTCGCTCTCTGTCTTCTGCTGTAGTGCTGGGGTCCTTCCTGGTGGGTGCGTGAGGGGTCAGGGGTCGGAGAGCTGGGTGGGGACGTCGCCGTGGCCATGTCAGGGGTGTTGCATGGTGTATTTTTCTCTCTCTCTGCTGATGCTCTAGCTTAGATGTCTTTCCTTTTGCCTTTTTGCAGTCCCTGTGGGCCTTGCTCAGAGCGGAGAAAGCATTTGTTTGTACAAGATCCACAGACGTGTAAATGTTCCTGCAAAAACACAGACTCGCGTTGCAAGGCGAGGCAGCTTGAGTTAAACGAACGTACTTGCAGGTTGGTTCTCAGAGGGCAAGAACAGTGAGAGAGAGGGGCATCACCCAGAGATGGGGAGAGAGGGAGAGACAGAGAGAGAGAAAGAGAGAGAGAGCACGAGCGAGAGCAAGCTTGAGAAGGGCCAGCTGCTTGCTCAGCTTCTAGCTGCCTGCCTGGTGACTGCTGCCTTCTCTGCTTGCGACGTCCCTGTGCTGGCTGCCTGGGGCGTTGTCCAGCCTGGTGTGGCTTCATGTAGTGATGTGTTGTGTCCTGTGGTAGCTGTCAGTCCTGGTGTTGTCACCCCCGCTTGCGGTGCCTGGCTTGAGGAGCACCAAACCTTCCATGTATAGGACAGGCTGTTAAACGTGTACATGGTCTCCCCAGGGCCTGGCCTCCACCTTGTACAGCTGGGTTTCTTAGCCCCTTGGGCTGCCCTTGGTGATAGTGACTGCGTCTTCGCTCCCCCTCCATCCTCTCTAGACTGGAGCTTCTGCAGATGGGGCTGTGCTGCCCTTGGTCTAGGGCTCTCCGAAGATCAGGGCCCTGGGTTTTGGGGTAAGGTGGGTCATGTCTTCCCACCCATTGGGAATGCCCTGACGTTCCTTCAGTGTTCCAGCCAGGTGTGGTTAACAGCTGCAGGACAAGTGGAAGTGGGAAGCTGTGCCCCTCACTCCACATGGCAGATATTGACCACTGTCTTCTACTGGGCCCTGGGTCTTGTACTTTTGGGTCCCCCAACCTGGAAATCTGCACCTGTACCCCTTGTCTGTGATGGGGAGCATGGCAGTGTCAGGGGACCTGAGATAATTCTTGACTAAGCCCCAGGGGCCTGTCCAGTGCACAGGGTCTTGGTGGATGGGAGGAGGCTGGCAGTGCATTGATCTACACTGGTGCTCCTTCCAGCCTGGACTCAGCTGCTGGGAGGGAGGCTGGGCCAACAGCATTCAGCGGACTGGAGGCTTCATGGGGACACCCCTAGCTAGTCCAGAGGGTCCTTAGCTACTCTTAGAAAATGTGTGTCCCCCTACACCTCGTCTTCCCCCTCCCTGGCCCTGTCAATGCTTTTGTGGCTGTGGGTGCTCCCAGGGGTGGGATGAGGGCAGTAGGCTGGGCTTCCGTCTGTCTTGGTGCTGTGTGCAGACAGTATGTGTCTCTGTGCTGGAGGTGGGAGCTGGATGAGAGGGCGTAGAGGGAGGGAGGCAGATGCAGGACTTGACGCTTGAGGGTCTCTGCAGTGGTTTTCCCACAGAAGCTGCCCATCTGGGAACTGGGTCGGTGTGGAGGGTGATGCAGGAGCTAATTGAAGTGACCTTGCCCCCAAGGCCTTCTCCCGCCCCCACATGTTGAGGCTACATCTCTTGAGAGCTTCAGTTACCATGACTGGGTGCCTCCAAGGCTGGGGGTGGAGCGCAGATGGCTCCTTGCCTTCCCCTCTCTTGGGGTCCCTGCTGGCCTCCTTGCCAGGTCCCCCTGGGGCCCAGGGTGATGGTTCTGCAGCCCACCCTTGTCTCCCAACCAGCCGCTTTTACAAATAGGGCTGAAGAAGCCACCTTCTGCTAGGACCTCACCCTGCCCAATAGCTGTTGGGTCTTCGCTTGTGAGTGAGGACCATCCTTGGATCCTTGTTAATTTGTTGCTTTGTGAAGCCTTCCATGTCTTGCATCCCGCACACCACAGGCTGTAACAGGGATGCGTGGAAACCCCCGTAGGTGGCTCCTGCTTGGACGGGGCTCCCTATTTCTGCCTGAGGACTGTGCCTTCCCTGCTGTCTTGCTCTTACAGGGACCTGGGCGAGCGAGGGGGCTGCTTCCAGGATCAGGGCAGCTGCCTGCCTCGTGGCCCTCACCCTCACCCTTCCCTGTGTCTCCATTTCCCACAGATGTGACAAGCCAAGGCGGTGAGTCGGGCTGGAGGAAGGGGGCCTCCCTCAGGGTTTCGGGAACCAGACCTCGCACTAGGACAAAACTGATCGCTCACTTGCGAGACAAACCATGCCGCTGCCGCCGCCGCCGCTGCCACCACCTCCACCACCTCCACCACACCATCACCATCGACAGAATAATCCTTGATCCAGGAACCTGAAATGAAGGAAAGAGGAGTCTGTCCGAGCACTTTGGGGGCCGGAGTGCCAGACCCCGGCACAAGCATTCCCGGACAGGTGACCCAGCATGGTCCCTCTTGGAATTGGATTCGCCATTTTTGTGTTTCTTGCTGCTAAAATCACCAAGCTCCGAAGACTAGAGTTTTATTTCTGGGATTTCCCCGTAGACACGCCTACCCACATACATACGTTTATATATATATATAAATATATATATGTTATATATATATAAAAATAAATATATATATTTTATATATATATAAAATATATATATCCTTTTTTTTTTTTTAAATTAACGTCGCTAATGTTATTGGTGTCTTCACTGGATGTATTTGACTGCTGTGGACGAGACTTGGGAGGATAATGTCCCACCTGAATCCCAGTAGGGAAGAGGGACGGGATGACAAGTTCTGGCTTGGTCCTTGTGTCACTTGAGGAAGGCCAGGGTCCTCTCCCCTGTCCGGGAACATGCAGGGCCAGGCCACAAGGGCAAGGTTGGCCCTCAGCTGGGAGCGTTGACAAGCCTACCCTGGCTCCAGACCTTCGATTCCTGAGCCAGGTGGACAGATAAAGACAGATGAGAGGTGCAGGGACAAAGACACTGGCTCCAAGCAGGAGCTTGTGGGGGAGCCCCAGGACATGGTTATGCTTTGGGGTTCCCTGTCGACATGTGTTGCATGGGCATCTTGCCCCCCAGGGGCACTGCCTGGAAGATTCAGGAACCCTGGGCCGCCTTCACCCTACTGTCACCTGCTTCTGAGTTGCCCAGGAGGCCACTGATGGGTGTCCCGACGAAAGAAGAGTGAAGAAATAGCCCGGTGACAGCTCCTCCTTCTGGGACCGACCCTCGTTCTCTCCCTGGCCCTCCTGCCATCCCCTCCCAGCCCCCCTTCCTGGGGTGCAGCCCAGGAGGTCCTGATGCCCCCTTGGCCCATGGAAACCACTAGTTCTGTCCCCTTCCCTGGAGACCTGGCTGTGTGTGTGTGAGTGGTTAACCCTCCTCTGTCGCCCCTACTTCACCCCACACTGTCCCCCAGTTCCTTCCCTTCCAGAGGCACAGAGAGACAGGGCTGGATCCATGAGCCCTCCATGGAGGCAGAGAAAGAGAAAGTGTTTTATATACGGTACTTATTTAATATCCCTTTTTAATTAGAAATTAAAACAGTTAATTTAATTAAAAGAGTAGGGTTTTTTTTTTTTCAGTATTCTTGGTTAATATTTAATTTCAACTATTTATGAGATGTATCTCTTGCTCTCTCTTGCTCTCTTATTTGTACTGGTTTTTGTGTATCCAATCCATGTGTCCAATCTTTCTCGCTCTTTCTCCCTGATTGGTGACAGTCACTTGCTTGTCCTGAACAGATATTTAATTTTTTGCTAACACTCAGCTCTGCCCTTCCTCCCCTCTTGCCCCCAGCCCCGGCTCCCCACCACACATTCCTTGGAAATTAGGTTTCAATATACATCTACATACTATATATATATTTGGCAACTTGTGTTTGTATGTATATATATATATATGTTTATGTATATATGTGATTCTGATAAAATAGACATTGCTATTCTGTTTTTTATATGTGAAACCGAAACAAGAAAAATAGAGAATTCTACATACTAAATCTCGCTCCTTTTTTAATTTTAATATTTGTTATCATTTATTTATTGGTGCTACTGTTTATCCGTAATAATTGTGGGGGAAAAAAAAGATATTAACATCACGTCTTTGTCTCTAGTGCAGTTTTTCGAGATATTCCGTAGTACATATTTATTTTTAAACAACAACAAAGAAATACAGATATATCTTAAAAAAAAAAAAGCATTTTGTATTAAAGAATTTAATTCTGATTTCAAAGCTCCTCTTGGTTTTCTCCTTCTCCATTGAATCCTTGCTTCAGACCTGCTCCATCCCCTTCCCCTCCTCCCTGGGGAAATAGGGCTTTTGAAAATGATGCCCAGAGTGTAGGGTGACCTGTGTCAGGAGCCAGAGGCCTTGCATTCTGGCTGGGCTGGTCCTGGGAACAGCTTCTGCCTGGTCCTGATCCAGGGACTGAAGACCCTGGCCAGCTGTCCCTCTGTGGACAGCTGCCCAGGAGATGGAAGGGGCTGTGTTTGGCTGTGGGGCCATGTGGGCTGCCGGGGGTGGGGAGAGAGCTGCAGGTTCCTGCCATGCAAGATGGGTCTGGGGATGAGATCTCGCTTCCTCTGTAAGGAACAAGCACTGCCCACAAGAATTCGTCCTCGGCCCTGGCTGCTGCAGCCTGAAGCCACCTGCCCGGGTGTTCGGCATTGACCAATGGTGCTTCAGACCCATGTCCTCCAGTCAGCTCTGTGCAGGCGCAAGGCCAGGACCTGGAGACTGACCTAGAAGTCAGCCGATGGAAAAATGCTTAACATGGTGGTAGAACTTCTCAGGTTGCCCCCTCTTCTTTCTCTCTCTCTCTTTTAAAGATTTATTTATTTTTATTGCAAAGTCAGATATACAGAGAGGAGGAGAGACAGAGAGGAAGGTCTTCTGTCTGATGATTTACTCCCCAAGCGATCGCAATGGCCAGTACTGTGCCGATCCGAAGCCAGGAGCCAGGAACTTTGCTGCAGGGTCCCAAGGCTTTGGGCCATCCTCGATTGCTTTCCCAGGACACAAGCAGGGAGATGGATGGCAAGCAGGGCCACAGGGGTTAGAACTGCCACCCATATGGGATCCTGGCACGTTCAAGGTGAGGACTTTAGCCGCTAGGCCACCGCTCTGGGCCGTCTCCCCTCTCCTCCTAGGGCTGGACAGATCAGCACAGCGGAGAGGAGGAGAGCAGGGGTTGAGGGGATGTTAAGCAGAAGGGACCGTGAGAGTGAAGGCACTGGTGGGACAGAGGTAGTGAGGTGGCTTGGATAACTGGTCGTGTGATCAGACTGTAGTCCACGCAGAGCAGAAGGCTCACACAGTGTCTGCCTTCATAGGGCTTTTGGTCTTGGGATAATTGCTTCCAGATCACTCTCTGTGTCCCAGTTCCAGCACATCACAGCCCTGTAAGGCAGGTGTTCTTGTAGGCATCCGTGGATATTGAATATTGCTCTTTTTTTTTTTAAGGTTTATTTATTTTACTTGAAAGAGTTACAGAGAGACAGGGGGAAAGACAGTTCTTTTATCTGCTGGTTCACCACGAAATGGCTACAATCACCAGAGGTGGGCCAGTCTGAGCCAAGAGCCACAAGCTTCTCTGGGACTCCCATGTGGATTCAGGGTTCCAAGGACTTGAGTCATCCTCTGCTACTTTCCCAGGCCGTTAGCAGGGAGCTGGATGGGGACTGGAGTAAATAGGATTCCAACTGGTGTTCATATGGAATGCCATCCCTGCTGGCAGGGACTTGACCTGCTATACCACATGCTGGCCCCTAAAATATTTCAACATCAATATAAAAGTTTTTGAGAGATTTCATTTATTTATTGGTAGTAACTCTTCAAATTTAGTGTGTAATTTATCACATATCTTGATCAGTTGTAGTCCTATTTCAAGTGCCTGATACAAAATATGTAGCTAGTGGTTACCACTTGGAACAGTGTAGCTCCAAAAATTTACCCTCATTTTTTAAAAAAAGACTTATTTATTTTGATTGGAAAGTCAGACATACAGAGAAGAGCAGAAACAAAGAGGAAGATCTTTTGTCTGATGATTTACTCCCCAAGTGACCACAACAGCCAGAGCTCAGCCAATCCGAAGCCCGGAGCCAGGAGCTTCTTCTGGGTCTCCCACGCGTGTGCAGGGTTCCAAGGCTTTGGGACATCCTCGACTACTTTCCCAGGCCACAAACAGGGAGATGGATGGGAAGTGGGGCCACTTGGATTAGAACCAGCACCTATATGGGATCCCGGCGCATTCAAGGAGAGGACTTTAGCTGCTAGGCTACTGTGCCGGGCCCTAAATTTACCCTCATAATTTTAGAAAAAAAAAATTCTCACTTTACTTGAAAGGGAGAAAGAGAAAACAAGAAATGTCTCCCATCCTTTGATTCACTTGCCCAAAGCCCTCAACAGCTGCATCAGGCTGAAGCCAGGAGCTCAGAACTCCTCCCATGTCTCCGTTGTGAGTAGTAGGGTCCCAAGTCCTTGAGCCATCATCTGCTGCCTCCTTAGGTCTGCATCAGCAGGAAACCAGATCTCAAGCTGAATCTGATGTGGAATGTGGGTATCCCACCCAGTGACAATCCCTGTGCCGGACTCCCACCCCATGCTCTCTTTTCATCCTCTCCCTCGTGAGAATATGGTCTCCAAAGTGGCAGAAAGTTTGTTGTTTTTGCTGTTGTTCCTTGTATTCTAACTCTGGGAACAATGTCTGGAATGTAGTACCCGCTCAATAATCATTTTTAAGATGACAGATGTTGTTGAGGCAGGCTTGGAGGCCAGGAGTTTCATCCCAAGGCTATGGAGATAGGCACAGTATTTCTTGCAAGAGAGGTCAGGAACAGTCGGTGGAGGGTCTGCCTGGACAGGTGGGCAGTTGAGTCAGGGGTTGGGAGCCTTGACCTGGAGACGTGAACTCAAGAGTCAGTAGGTGGCGATTGTGGGCCATGGCCCCTTGCTTGGTGGTCTTGTCTTGGAGGCACCTGCACCTGGGGTTCGTTTCCTATCACCTGGCAGGTGAGCAGCAAACAGGCTCAGAGGGTAAAGAACATACTTGAATCTCCGCACAACCGGAGAAGTGTCCAGGACAGGAGCTAACGCAGCTTTCCCTACTCCCACTCTAGGGCTCTTTTCTACCATGCCATAGCTGCCCGAGGCACAGCAAATGCACAGTCTAGACTGACTACAAACAGGAGAAGTGGGACAAGGTGTGGCGGTGGCCAAGCCCAGGGCTGGAAGCCAGGTATCCCCCTAGCACAAGAAGGCAAGGCAGGATAGGGATGTTTTGTCTCCCAGGGTCTGTGACTCTGGGCCACAGGAGATGGGAGACCTCAGCGCACAAGAAATTGTGACATGTGGCCTTGGCCAAGAGAAACAGTCTTGAAAACAATTGTGGAGAGAAAGTCAAAATGCCATACCCCCAGCTACATCAGATCTGCTCAGACACCCCGGGTGTCTTTCCTCAGGGGTTTTCAAGGCCTGATCAGGTTGCTAGGTGTCCCCTGCCTTCTTAGCCCAGGGCCTCCTCAGCGCTTCTGCTCTGGGTGCCCATGGCACTGCCCCTCCTTCCCACCTCTGCCCAGCCTAGCTCCAGACCCTCAGA